CCCCTCCCTCTCTCTCTTTCTCTCACGATGAACGTCGGTTCGCGTGTTCGACGAGTGTTCACGGAGTGTGTGATGTCTTCGCGGGCGTTCTTCGGGAGCGATGGGTTTTCGATGTTTGACGAAATGCGAGTTCATCCGCGGTGTCTACGCGACGCGCGTTTTTCTTATCGCTATAATATGACTTGTCGCTTATGCCCCTTGTGATTCTCAGGTAACGCTCGACGTGAACGATAATGCGATCATCAGCTCGTGATTCGATGCGCGCTCGTGCGTGTACCTGTCGCATCGGCGCGACGATCCGCGTGAATTTAAGAGGCGTTCCCACGAGGAGGACGCAGCACGAGTCTTGGGTACGACGAACTGAAAGGATCACTGCAATTTGACGGCTAGGGGTTCCGTCGAGCGGTCGCGTATCTTCACAACACCAATCCACGTCGCGCAGACACCAGCAGTTAACACTAACGTTAACATTGGCTACCTTATAAAGCGTACATCTATGAATAAAGCATCGAGTCTAATTACGCCTAAAACGCCTATTAAATGAGCCTCCCTTCGCACAGTGGCCGCACGCGGGTTATCGCCGGCGTGGGTTCCTCGACAATCGATCCACCATCGATCGCGCGTATTTTCAGGGCGACGCCTCTCGCCCTTCTTTAGAAATATTGCTTGGCCAAGCGTTAGTGGTGTTACACGTAAATTGACTAGAACCGTTTGTAACGTGCGTTTCAGACAACCGACAGACTCGGGCTTTCCGCCTCTTGAAACAACCTTGGTTGGTGAAGAAGAGAGGACGTACGACTGTCATCGTCCCCCTTCGGACAGCAAAGCTTGACTTCCATTCTCTTGCACACACACACACTCTCTCTCTCTTTCTCTCTCTTTCTCTTTCTCTCTCTCTCTATCGCTCTCTTTCTCTCTCTCGCTCTCGATATCGCATACAATATTGACTGAGTATACATGCCACTTGGTGGCACGACCTTAACCTTAACGCGAAATATATCTTTAAATTCGTAGCGGTATCGCTCTCGCTTTACAGTCAGTCGACGTACAGCGCACTCGACATTCGAGGTACGTGCCGTACGATAAATTCGTGGCACGCAAGAAATCAATCATTGTGAATTTTACACCAATCATCAAACCTGTCCGCGCGCGGAAGCGCTGTCGGCCGCTCCAACAGGGGTGGACAAAAGAGCGCTTCCAACGCCGGGATGTGCGTGCGCGTGTACCGTCGACAAGACGGACCAAATTCAAAAGTGTGATGCAACGAACGTTATCGAAAATACTGTTTGCATTAATAAATATCCAAATGGAGCGTCGCATATGCGACGAAAAGGAAAAGAAACAAGGAAGCGGATAGACACGAGAGTGCGCGAATAATGAAAATCGACGCGAAAGCAACAGAACAAAGAGACTCACAGTCTCACCCAACCCCCGAATCTCGAGTACGCTTTACAGAGGTTTTCGTGTCCTCACTTGATCATGATACTCACTGCCGTGGGTCCCTGAGAGATAGCGTTCTCCTTAGAGGCCTCTTCGACCTCCTTGAGCTTCTCCTCGGCCTTACGTTCCTTCAAGGCCTTGAGCAGCTTCCACTTGGACCCGGGTGGGCCAGGACTCGCCTGGCCCTCCTTCAATGTCGTGTCCGAGCTTCCGCAGGACGAGGAGTCGATCTTGATCTTCGGTAGACTCAAGGTCGCCGTTGTAGCAGTCTCGGCGCTACCGGCTCCATCGCGCTCGAGGCCTTCAAGGACAGTGCTTTCAGAATCCCAAGCTCCAGGGATGCTGACCGACACTTCGCTAGGTGGTACACTTACGCTACCTTCGCGGGAAAGGGAATCCGAGCCCTGCAACACCTTCTCGCCGTCGCGACGCAACGTCGATCCGTTAGAGCTGCGTCTTGACTGCTGTTCTTCAAGATCCTTGGGCAGCTCTTCTTCTTCTTCTTCGTCCATCGACTGGCCGGGGCTATCCGGGCCGGAGGTCTCGCCGGAGGAGCCTTCCTCCGTGGACGGTGGAGGCCGTTCTTTCTCTTTCTTGGCTTCGATCTCATGTGCCCAGGTGTGGTAATCGGTCACCCGGGCGAACACGGCCTCCACACTCTCCGCGGATTTTCGCTTCGGGATCGGCTTCTCATCGCGATACCTATCGTTCTCCTCGCCACGATGCTCCTTTGCGACCGTGCCGTTCATTCTAGCTCGCGGTTCCTCTCGTTCCTCCTTCATCACTTGATCCTTAGGCTTCGTGATAGCTTTGAGCTTGAGCTCCTTCAGCACGAACGACATCCTCTCCTTCACCTCTTCGTCCGGCTGGTAAGCTTCGTGCTCTTCTTCCTCGATCAACACTTCGGTCATCTCCATCTCCGACTGTCTTTCTAGCTCTTCGAGTTTCCTCAGTTCGTAGCAATACCACTCGTCTTCGGAATCGATTGAGTCTTCGGTGCTCTGCCGTCGCGATGACACTCTCGATGTGCTCCTGTACGAGTGTGTGCTGCGATTATCTTCGTCAGGCTCTCCCGGTCGCGAACCGGTCCATGGTATTTCCAAAGATTGTTGATGGCGCGGCAAGAAACGACCACCGGCAGGTCCATATCCCCTTCCCATGCTGGACGCCGAAGGGCTACCTTCCGACGGTGGAGCCTCTTCTGACAAACTAGTGACTAGTTCCGGTAATTTCGCGCTGCCAGACTTTTCGCTTTTCTCACTCTTCTCCGACATGTCTTCTGAATACTCGAAACTCGCCTCCAGCACTTGCGCCGATCCCTCTTCCATCTTCTTATCGTTGTTGGTTTCCTCGGTCGGTGGTTGGTCGTCCGACACTGTTGAGGATTGTCGTTGACGATATTTGCCGAGAGCTCGAGAGACCGCGAACTCCATGCTCGAGCCGCCAATCAGAGTGACTGGCGGCAATTTCGGTGCTTTCTCGTTTGGTGCCTCGTCCGAACTACCCGTCGACCTCTTAATATCGCCAACAGTCTGGAAGATGGACGATCCGGCGGATCCTGAGCCGGTGCTCTTGCCAGAGGTCTCTTCCTCGACAATACCCATCTGTTCGTTCATGTCGTGCTCGCTAACTTCGACTTTCCTCTGCTCCTTCTCCTTGGTCCACGTGTCTTGAAGAGCTTGCTGATGAAGTTGCTCCTGATGCTGCTGGATTTGTTGTTGAAGCGCCTGTTGTTGCTGTTGCTGAAGTATCTGCTGCTGTTGAAGTGCCTGCTGCTGTTGGAGCGCTTGTTGCTGTTGAAGCGCCTGCTGTTGAAGCGCCTGCTGTTGAAGAGCTTGATGCTGTTGAAGAGCTTGATGCTGTTGAAGAGCTTGATGTTGTTGAAGGGCTTGATGCTGCTGAAGGGCCTGGTGTTGTTGAAGAGCCTGTTGTTGCAGAGCCGCTTGATGTTGTTGTTGCTGTTGTATATAATCCTTTTGCTGCACTTGCATCTGCTGAGGGTGTGGTTGCTGTTGCTGCGCCATCATTTGCTGCGGCGGTTGCTTTCTCTTGGTACTCGCGGTCTTTACTTTTGCGAAAAAAGGCGGTTCTTGAGTGATATCGGATATCACGCTATCCTCGTCTTCCGATAGGCCGCTTTGTCTACCGCTACTCCATTCGGTCTCGGACTGTTCCGGGTCGGACAGCGATTGCGACTGATGACTGCGGCGTTTTGCTTTCTGCAAAATGCCAGACACCGTGGAGACTAAAGTATGCTTCTTTTTCTTCCTCGCGGTCTGACCTCTACCCCGCCCTCTCCCTATGGCCATTTCGGCGGGTATCCTTTGTTGACCGTCTTGAGGCACATCCAAGTCTTCTCTTCTCACTCCTCCCGGCAGCGATTGACTTCTGTGTCGTTTACTGAGATGCAGATCGGGTAGCCAATTACTCATGGAGCTCATCGCGTTCTTCAAGGAGGAACCCCTTCTGACTTTCTTCGACAGTTTGGTATTCTCAGCCTCGTGATCCTTCAAGTTTGTAGCGATACTGATGTACCCGGACTGAGAGACTATTACGCTCGATGCGTCGTAGTATTCACTTTGCTGCGTCTGTTGCTGCTCCATGGGTATCCTGCCGCTCTCGTGATCCTGAATGTACTGATGCTCCCGTTGCCATTGTCTCTGATAGCCATCTGCGAGTTGCGCGCTTTCAGAGCTGCTGAGTCGTTGGCTGTACGGCTGGTATTGTTGTTGGTAGGCTTGCGGATAATTCTGATTCGCGTAGGTGTGATGCGATTGATAGGGATGCGCTTGATAGGCCGGTGGTTGGGGATACCTACGATCCGTGTACGGGCTCTGAGCGTAGCTGCCGTCTGAGGTGAGCGATCGAATGCTGGAGGATGTCGAGTCGTGCGGTATCTGCTCTTCCATCGAGTTCAGCCATGAACTGTCGTTCGTCTCCGTTCGTGGCAAGTTCGCGCTAGTTGGATAATACGAGAGCGCGTCGGTGATGTTGCCGGTGGGGAACATCTGCCGATACATCGCCGCCTTGTAACCCTCGTGATTCGCCATGCCGTCTGTGAACGAGCTGCCGCGTATTGGTTTCTTCGCGTGAGTCATGGCGCTCGTCGTTTCCGTATACTGAAGCGCGCTGTAACCGTCCGGGTAATTAATGTACTGCTCCATCGAGTCGGAATAGTAAGCCGAAGTCGTAGTTTTGGGTCCATAAGAGCCAGATCCACTAGTGTAGACGCTCGTGATGGCTTGCTGCCGATTACTACCGGCCACGGAGTAAATGGCCGGCTGCTCCGACCTGTAGACGTAATCCGTAGACGTGCCTGATGGCACCGAGTCATAAGTATGCTGAAGACTCTGCTGACGGCTGCGTTTCTTGGGACTCTGGCAAGTGGTGGTGACGCCTGGCGGCGCCGGCGGAGGCACGAAATTGTATTCTTCCTTGGCTGGTGATTTGGCGGTGGTCGTATACGCCGACAGGTGATTCATTGTCGTGGTGTAAGGATGACTCGTCGTAGTCGCTATAGTGCTCGCGAAGGCGTCTCTACCTTCAGGAGTGTCGTAGAGCGGCTCCTGCGTGATAGTTGCAGTAGTAGTAGTTTCCGGCAACGGCGGGATCGGACTTGAAGTCCTGGCGGGTTGCGTGCTGGCTATAAGACTCGTGCGGGTGTGATCCACCGAGTAGGAGGTCAGCATCTTTGCGATAGAGCTTTTCGGCGAGCTCGGCGACTTGTCCAGACTGCTCCAACCGCTCATGGAGGACAGGCCAGAGTCGGACTTGGCCGCGACTATGTTGGCGGCACTGCTAGACTTGACCGCGTGCTTCGGCGAGACTCTCGGTGATTTTGGTGAGTGAGGAGTGCGCGGACTTAAGCGACCCTGCTCCATGGAAACGAGTTTCTCGGCATTTCGCAAAAAACTCGGGCTCTGCGACCTTTTGGGCTCCGGTTCTCGCTGATCCGCACCGGGCATGAGGAAGGACTCGGTGGTGTCTCGCGGTGCCGGTGGCGGAGGCGAGTTGGGAGACGGACTGGGAGGTGTTCTGCTCTCTTGGAACTCAAGATTCAGTCGTGCTGCGCTACCAAAGTAACCGTCTTGCCTGGTGCGCAGCCCTTGGACACTGTGTACGCTCTGCACGCTGCCTGCCGACAGCGTGGGCGACGGCACCTTGTCGGTGGTGGTGCTGTAAATGGTGGGCGAAGCACAGGTGACGGCTGTGGCGAAGCTCTCTGCCATCAGATCCGTCAGCTCCTTGTTTTCCGCATACCCCTTTGCGAAGCTACCGACGTCGATCGGCAGCTGGATCACCGGCTCGGGACTCTTCTCCAATATGGCCGACGTGTAACCTAATCTAGGTGGAGTATAGGTAGTCGAAATGGAGTCTAAGTTGCTCCTGGACGTAGAGGTCAGTCTTGGTGATATGGATCTCGTTGTGAAGTCGCCGTCAGTGGCCAGCCCGCTATCTGTGCTCACTCTGGAGATCGATCTGCCGGTGGATCCGGGACTCTTGGAAAAGGTCCAACTGTCCACGTCGGTCTCCGCATAGATCTTCCTCAATTGTTCGTCTATGCTGCTCGCCTCTTCTGCCAGCTTGGCTTCTGCTTCGGACGAATACTGCCGCTTCGGCGAGTCGATCAGCCGCGACTGCAGTTCTATGAGATTCTGCGAGTCCTTTTGTAATTTACTAGTCAGTCGATCGATCTCGTGCAGTTTCTCCAACGCCACCTGGTCGAGGGAGCTGAGCCTGGAGAGCTGCGCGAGATCTTGCTCGCTGACGCATGGCGTGTTACCTCGATAGCTCTTATAATCGGCCGCGCTGAACACTTCGCCTTCATCCTCGTCCGCTTCGTCTTCTTTCTTCATTGCAGACGCTTGCACTTCTTCTTTGGTCGGTGGCGCCTGAGTGGACAGCTCTTCGAGCTCCTCCTCCTTCGGTATAGTCTTGTCGAAGAGGCTGGTCTCAACTTCCTTCTTGCCGTTCACATCTTCGTCCTCGGCTTCTTCCCAGATCATACCCAACTGCGACGTCGGTCTCGACGTGTCCCCACAGATCAGGTCCTCCCTGTAAGCGTTATTCAGGCTTCTGTAAAAGGCCTCGTCGGGAATGTTGCCCTCTTCCTCGAGAGTCTCCAGGGTGTCGAGATTCCTCACGTTCCTGTGCATGTCGGTGACTACGGCCGCGGCCGTCGTACTGTCTTGCGTGAGCCCGTGCATCCTCGCGAGCTCTTGTTGCGCGAGTTTCTCTCGCAGCACATCGGTCTCCTCGATGCCGATCGCTGCGCCCAAGCTCTTTGCGATCGCGTCCAACTCACCCACTGAGCCTTGCTGATTGGCCAAGGTCTCCTCAACGATATTCACGTTCTCGTGCGTACCGCCACTAGTGTAGAACTCGATCAGTTGACTGATCACCGTTTGCTGCTCATACAGTAGGCCTTCCAACTTTTCCAGTCGCTCCCACATCTTGATGTACTCCTGGCTGAGGAGATCCAACGCCCGCCACGCGTACTTCAGCTCGGTCTCGAGAATGTTCAGCCGCGTACCGAGTCTCTCCATGTAGTCACCTATGATGTAGTCGATATTACCATCGCTGGGCGCGGCGTAGCTCGGCAAGACCGGCGAGTGAGACCGCGGACTGCTCGACGCTGGACCGCCCAATTTCGTCGAGTCCATCTTTCTCAGCAGTCTTGTCCGCTCGCGATACGCCTCTTGTCTCTTTTCTCTTTGTATCGTTTTTTTGTTATTATCGTTTTTCTTGTTGTTGTTGTTGTTACACACCTACGTTTCTATCTGACGATCCCTGAGGCGATTCATCGTCGTAAGTCTCGAGGCTCGCGTCCGAATCAAGTCACATCCCGCCGCGTGGACCAAGGAGGAACATGAATTGCGACGCGGCGAACCTCGCGGAGGCCGTCGTAGCGTCTGGTCTCGCGACGATCTCCATGTTGACTCGGCCCATCCGGAATCCTCACATCTCACACTTTAACGCTCTAGCTAAGTCCTACCGGATTTCTCCAACGATCACTCTCGCGTCTACATGTATCGCCGGGAGTGTCTTTCTCCGTTGCGATCTGCCGCTTCTACACGGGCTACACTGCGTACACAAAGCATGGAAGTCGCCGAGGCGCGAGCCTGATGGAACGTTCGAGATCGCGCGACACCACGCGAATGGCACTTTGTAACCAGTCTCGTACGTTCATGCCGCCGTTGCTGTTATCTGCAAAATAGCAAAAAACCAACCGCCATGTGGCTCAGCACCTGGGGCACGGGGCCTGAGCACCGAGCCAACGCAGCCGATGCAGTTTCCATGGTGTGTGCGTGTGTGTATCGCGTACGTTCGGCCGTACACGATCAAGGATATAATACGTGTGTGCACATCGTAACGTAAGATCGCGAGATAGTCACAAAGTGACAGAAAACGTGCTGAGGCGTTTGCTCGCATCCACGCTCGCGACCGGAGAGAAGTCTCCAAGTATAACCTGACCAAACCACCAACGAATATGATAAAATCCTGCCCGATTAATGGACACTCCATTATCATAATACCATTTAATTTCACTCTCAGATCTTTATAGAGTGTCTTTATAAAGATTTCCATCCAACTGCGTTCCATTGGCCCCAATCCAGAGTTATAACGGAGAAGCAGCGACGGCAGTTACGTCGAAATCGAGTCGAAATACTCCGAATAGAATAGTATTCGCGTTTCTTGAAATATCACATAGCGTGCCGCGAGAAAGATCGATTGACCGGCATAATAATTTATGAAAATGAAGAGCGGCGGACTCGAGAGCCGCGCTTCAAAAGAGAATCGCGCACTCGGCACGGCGCTTCTTATCGATCACGAGCGGGCGATTCCGCGTGTCCTGCCAGGATGATCGAAATAACCGTCACGACCCAAAAACCGACGACGGTCGATGATGGTATCAGCCGTCCGTCCCTGCAGAATCCTCGACGAGAGTTCATCGAGCACGCCCTTTGTCAACGTTATTGCCGCGTCGCGCGCGCATCCTGATACCGATTTTTCGTATCGTACTGCCTCCGTGATACGCGGGTACTCACTCACGTAGACGGGGATTTTCACGACGAGGAGCGATGAAATCGCTTCATCGTCTCGCGGCAGTAATAAGAGCGCGCGTCGCTTAACGTCAATCCCGCGCGGATCAGTCGCGCGCGATCTTCAAAGACATTGACCTAATTTTGCACGCATTATGCGCGTCGTTGAGACAACGACTTTGCTCGGCTTCGGCTATGGCCCGTGAGATGTTTTATTCTGCTGATAGTCGCAAAGATATGTAAATTTGCATGCCGCACTTTGCACTCATGAGACCTCCTTTCAGACTCAATTGTGCCGTTTAAACGTTTCATCCGCGTCAATTGCGATAATTTGTATCCATAAAATGTTATTTCAGTCGAGTTAATTTAAGTTAATTGGTATGACTCGGAGAAAAGAGATTGATTGTAATGTTAACATGAAGTTGCTCGTGATGGACGAGCTAACGCATTTTGGTCGAGGAAATTGAATTTCTTTTAGAGTCAAATTTGGGTCATAGAGATCACACAGAAATTCTGGATCTTCCGAACAAAACGCGTTGGTGCGTTCATTAAAACCAGACTTCATGTTAATACATTTTTTTCGCCGTGAACTCTATTACAGAATGTATTCTATTACTGAATGTACTTTATTACTCAAGTTTCCTTCTCCTTCTTGCTATTTTATCTTTATTTATTAATATTATTATTAATCTTTCTTCTTTATCTTCCATCTTCTTATTCGCGTAATAAGCAAATTTTTCAAATAAATAAATGGATAATCGATGAAATGTCGGCGGACGTATTCCTATTATCACCTGAAATCGTTCGATCAACTGCCACTCCGGCGTATCGAGCTCGAAGAAAAAAGAGGCAAAAAGAAAAAAAATATAGGAAAATGACAGTTTGCACGGTAACGCGCCTTAAATTTTTCAGCTCTCGCTCCTTTTCTTCCCATTTAAAGGCGTATCGACGTTCGTTCGACGGACGAATCGGGGGAAACGCCGTTAAGAGACGGAATCGGATGTGAAGCGTTGTGTGCGCGTCCAAGGAAATATGGTTCGACATATTTCATCGCGGCGCTAATAAATTACTCGCCGATCTTGAGATCTTAACAGGCCGGCCCGGAGCCGGCTATTTACCGTATACCCGGCTATATATCAGACGACACGTCTGTTTATCATCGACGGCAGCGGCGGCGGTGACGGTGGCGACGGACCTACTCCTCTTTACATCTCGCGTGTACTCGGAATTTATCCTCGTCGTTTCACATGCCAGTAGTCTTCTATCGGGGTTTCCTTCCGGTTAAGCAGGCGGAGCACTAGCACAGAGAGACAGCAGTGGCGCGGATGCCGTGCACAGAAAAGAATACCATCGCGACGATATTGCGCTAGATATACCGCACGACAGATTCCTCGCCGGGTCAAAATGGGCATTCACGAGTTGCATCACAAAAGAGGCAAAACGGCTATGCATGCAGCCGTCCTCCTATTTGACGAAATGTCGTCGTCATCGTCGTCGTCGTTGCGAATTCAACCCGCCGCGGAATCCTTTTGCTTGCAAATATTTTCCCCTCGGCGCGCCCTTCACAGAAGAATCGCGCCACGTCGATCGGGAAAACAAGGTTACCCGCGCTCCATTGTTCCACTTTAATGTGTCGCTTCGTTATTGCATCGTTGTAACGTGACCTTCGTCGCGAAACCATTGGCGTAAAAATATCGGAACGGAATATTGTTAATTTAGACAAGGGGATATGGACTGATTTTGCGGTAAGGGAAAAGTTAGGAGCATTACGGATAACTACCGACGGTAGTTAGAGTTATTTAGCACGATTCGTCGCCGTTCACTTCACACGCACTCTGTGTCTGTGTACATTATAAATTGACGTAGCAAGTTCTTCCAGAAATGTTACTTTAACTGGTTATAAACGTCACAGTTCCATCACGACCTAGTATAAACTCGAATAGGATAAAATACTCAATTATTGATCCTCCTTAGTCATTGACATTCTAGTAGTCTGGCTTTTCTCGCGATCAATATTGGTTATTCACGGTTTTAGATGTGAAATTCTCTTTTAATATCATTAAAGGCACGCAAGAAATCTAACTGGGATGCTGTACGATAAAAGACATTTCGTATTTCTATTGATCCATCTAGGAAAGATTTTGTCTTAAATTTTCAACATACTCGTGTATTAATTTAATATACTGTCGTTGTGTTAGTTTGACTATTTTCGCGCGTTGAATTCTTATTTACCATTCCTAAAATAACAACAGTTAAAATAACAATAGTGTACGTTTCTGCGTTAATTTTCACCATATTGTTTACATATCTGCACTTTGTGTTAAATTAAATTAGAGTAGATAAATTGGGATATGTGAAGTGTTGAATTTAATATAAAATTTTTCACAATGTATGTGTGTGTGGTTGCATGAAAAGCCAGGTTCTTTTTATTTAAATTGTCAATGTAACTAAAGGTAGGTCAATAATTGGGTGTTTTACAGAGAAGTCACGGCGGAGATAATCGAAGTAACTTTCCATTACTGCTAATCGGATCTTTCTCTCACAGAACTACACTGAGTCGCACGGTCGTTCTCTCTATCTTTCCCTCGTGTCCCGATGGCAGATATCGAAGTTTAGCCGTCAGTACAGCTAGAGAGATTCCAGACCGCCACTGGATTATCGATCGCGGCACGCGTATTACAACTCGAATGTTTATTACACGCTATACAGCCGTACGGCTCATAACGCGATTACCATTCACGTGGCGGGCGGTGAACGGCAGAGAGAAGTTCACTGTCGCGTGAACTTGAGATTTTTCGCGTCGCAAGTCGTCGGTCATTACCGGCATGGAAAGCGCCGTTCGATATTAAGCGATGAAGTTACTGCACGTTCTCCTTCCGCGCGACGTGGTCTATAATACGAGCTCGCGAGAAAAGGAGAGAGAGAGAGAGAGAGAGAGAGAGAGAGCCAGAGAGAAAGAGAGAGAGAGATGAAACGAGGATGAATGAAAAACTAGTCGCACGGCGGGTGATAAAGCCGCGGCGGGTCGTCTGTGGACGTTTTCCAACTGTTTCAGATTTTGCTCTCTAAGCCGACTTAAGCCGCGCTTGGTAGTTTATTCAATTAAGAACGGAAGTCCGGTGGCGCGAATTGACGACGGAAAGTCCGGCGGATATCGGCGCGCTTCGACTTCGATGCAACAAGTCACGTCGTCGTCGTTGTCGTCGTCGTTGTCGTTCGTCGTTGTCGTCATTCATCGCGGCCTGTTGAATGGATTTCATTTTGCACGATCGCGGCCGCGCGATATTGTTCTTATTCGCAAAACCGCGGCGGATCGCCGCGTCGCGATCGTAAATTGATACCTTCGCCCCCTCGGATACAATCGGATTTGAGGAATCTCCCAAAGCTCCCATTGTATCTGTTGAGTTTCCGCGGCGCTGTTCAAAGAGGATTTCGACGGGCTCACGGACAAAGTAGACAAAACGACGACTGGCCAGCCGGCTGACTACTGGTGTGTGTACGCCAGCTAGGGACGGAATTTATTATACTTTGCACGCACGAGAGGGAGAGAGAAAGAGAGAGAAAGAGAATACTCGCTCGAGCGCGGAAAATTCGAGCATCTCTCGAGTGCCTAATGTTTTCGCCGCGCTCGAATTTGCCTAGCTCGTAAATCTCGCAGTGGAATCCCTGTTTCTTCTTTTTATTTTCCGAAAGAAGCGGAAAAAGAAGCGAATTCGTCGCTTCCTTTTTTACAATTTTTTGCCCGTTCGCGCCGTCATAGAAATCGCGAAAATTTACATGCTCTGTTTTAACCGCTGCTTTTGCATTAAACTCTACTATAATGTTAATATCGTTACTACGTGTTACTACGGATATACGTGTTACTACTACAACTTTCGTGTTGGAACAAGCAAAAAATAAGATTGGGGTAAAAAATAACTATAATTTCTGTCAGATTGACCGTTTTTTTCTCTCAGTGTACACTCTCTCTCTGTCTGGAAAAGCGTCGTGATATGACGACCCTCGAAGCGCGTGTAAGCACGTTTGCTTGCTGGATAATTTGGCGCTCATGTCGGCTGAGCGAACGAACGTCTGTTCCTTCCCGTCCGACGGGCGAAGTAACGGCAAAGTGGTTTCAACCCGGCGTAACATCTCGTTAGAAGGGAAAAACCTTTGCTCGACCGCTTCCGGATATCGCAAAAGACCATAACCTTGTTAAAAGGCGGCCGAGATTAATTCACAGCGCGTCACGCGCAACGAAAAATGGGACGGCCCCGCGGGATTTTGCAGTTTACGCCGGACTTTTCTTATGTGCCTGTTTACTCGAGGAAAATTTCCCTTTGAAAGGCCAGCGCGCTGCTCGGAAGGCCGGTCGAGTGTCTTCGAGGGCATTTCAGGACGCGGAGAAGGAAAATTGGTCGCGCTTGTGTAATTACTCGCGCCGTTGTCGCACCTAACTTTGCAGGAGGGACTGCCGCGCGCGCTATTTAACGCGGCGGCCATAAATTTCAATATTCAATTTCGCGGCGACATGGTGGCCACCGAGATCCGCTTTGGTTCCAATTATTGCCCCTTTTTCCCCCAATTCCTCGAGCACGAATGCCGGGGCAAAAGTGTAAATCGTCCCTGCGAGGTGATCGTGAAAGCAGGGCGGGTCGAGAAAACTTACTTTCTTTCTCTCTCCCTCCTCTTGCAAGGAGATTTTAGCTTTCTTTTCCTTCGTATACACACAGAAAAATATATCCTGCATTCAAGCATGCTTGAAACAAGCACAAGCTTTTACTCGTCTCAAGCATTTCATAAGTTTATTTATTCACAAATATATCATAAGCTCTAATTGTAAACATCAGATTTGTTCGAAGTATATTCGTGTCCGGGAACTTTTATCTTAGTGAATTTGGCATTTTAAACAAGAATGTTAAACTAAAACGAAAATTCTTTTTTAAAGCTTTTCTAAAATATGATGAGTATATTTTAGAGATATTATTATTATGACTATTAACAATATTATATATATGAAGAAAATATTCTCTGTTGAAAATAACCTAGTCCATTGACTATAACCATTGCTTAAAAGAAATAAAAACAACTGAGTAATCCCTTTCTTAGCAGCAGGATGATACTTTTCTCTCTGTATTCATAATTATCTTTATGTTTCATATCTTAGCCAATATTTTCATTTTCTGCACCATTTCTCTCAATTTACGCCGTAAAGTACAATTGTTATATGTACGTGAACTATGGATTTTGTAGCCCTAGGGGGTTTTCCCTAGAGAGCCAATAAATCGCCGTTCCCTCTTTCCCTCTCTCCTATTTTCAAATTACAAATAAGGAGATTTCCGTGTTTCCCCGCCACCAGACATCATCTCTGACGCGCCAGCACGCAGCAACGCAAACGTCTTATCGGAATAATCGCGGTACTGACAATTAACCCGGTACACAGCTAACGGAGAGATTGCTCGCCGTCCCGTATTGCAGCCCACGTTGCCGACAAAAGTTTCCTAACGACGCTCGGAACGATGGCGTTTTTGTCGCTTTACAACACGGCTCTCTTCTGCCGCGTAGCTTTTTATCGGTGTCTAAGAACTATGTAGGTCGAAGGTTGCGCTGGCGGAAGAGGGACGCGAAGCAGAGCGATTTAATCCCATTTCCGGACGGACAAAAGAGAAAATGACTTCTACCCACCCCCTACACCGCGCGAAACGTTGCCAATTTATACTCGCGCCCGCTCGATGCGGGCGCGAGTTTTTCCGGACGATGCGTCGCCATCGCGCGGCATACAAGCGAAATTAATCAGGCGGCGCTGCTCGAGCAACAGGTCTCGACTGTTTGGTATCATTAATAGTTCTGCAAAAGCATTCATCGCGCGCGGCGGAAGCCGCCACCGCCGCCGCCGCCGTCGTCGTCGGCGTTGACCTCGCCGCGAGAGCCATTAAGCCAACCAGAAGAATTAATTCGCGCTGTTATTCTCCCGATGTAATAACAAACATCGCGGCTCGAATTATCGCCGGACCGCCTTTGGTCGACGTGCGTCGGCCGCGTTCTTCATTCAACTAAAACAGTCCCGCTAAATCATCTCCCCCTTCCACAAAATATGTTAATGTCCCACGGAAACACAATCCCCGTGGCGCCTCGCTATTTAGCGCGCAGTAATCCGAAATGCAGCGGACATGTTATAAAGTTAACCGCATTTGTTAGCCGTACTCCTGCTCCGTGTGTACAATATTTAACGAGTTACCGGAAGTGCGCCAACAATGCTCCATTTTCCGGCCACAATTCCGTGGCCGTCGACGTGTCCTGGTGGAACGCGAACGATGGATTTAATTGCGGCCGGAAATAAGATATTTAATATATTGCGATATCGGAAATATTTTCCTGTACTTTCAATAAAATCGAAAACGGTCGTCAAACACGCCATCCCTCGCCCCTCCCTCCTCTGGTTCACTGTTCCGGAAATACCCAAAAAAATACAATCTTACTCTTAGCGGAATACTTTTTATATACAAAATGAGTCACTCACTATTAGGTTTTAAAATATTCTTGGTTTTTATATTAGAGAAAAATAGTGTAAGGGATAAACGTAGTCAGAAGGAATAAATATATTGTGGTAAGGCAACCCTTCCAACTGCACACAATTATTTATTCCCTACGCATTTTTCTCTAATTTAAAAACACAATAGAGATATTTTGGAATTTAAGGTGATTTTTGCTCTGTATATTGGCCTTAAAAGGATTCTTCCAAAACCAAAAAGAAAATAATCTAAGCATAATATTTTTCAAGTTAGAGAAATGTCGTCTTTCATGTGGTTCTTATCTGCGCATGTCTGTACGCGTGTGGGCGTGGCCTGCGCGCGGCGAACGTAACGTCGTTCTATCACGCGCATATATAAATGTAATATACGTCCTGGGCGATAAAGTCTGCCCAACGTGGCGTCCTTTTTATTAAGTTTAAAGCCTTCTCTCGTCTCGTGAGCAGCTGATAGATTCTCAAGATTCGCGGCAGTCCCCGACGGTAATTCTCATGTATATGGCAACGTGGTTGGCCGACGATGCGGTTTATAAATCCGATAAACCGCGCCGCGGATGGGGCATTATTATGGATCTCGGTATGCAGGGGATCGTGGCGTGGTTTTGATGCTGTCACGACACTCGCGCCAATTTCATGCACGCCGTCACCCTCGTAAAAACCAACAGATGAATGACCTCACGGTCACGAACTATCAAAGACTCAGCTGGCACGGGTTAATAATTAATCCGAGTCAATGCGCGAAGCGACGGTGTGCATTTGAGAAATATTTATGCGCCTTTATAAATTTTCATGATCCGCCAACCCACACGCAAACGTAGCTACACGTCCTCTAGGTAATCCCACCGGCACCGTCGTTTCGCGTTTACACGCGTCGCTTCACCAACGTTCGGGGATCCTGAGGTCGAATGTACGTGTGCTTCATGTAACCTTGCTTATCACATCGCTGTTATCTCCCGTAATTGGAGAGAGAGAGAGAGAGAGAGAGAGAGAGAGAGAGAGAGAGAGAGAGA